TACGCAAACGCTGCTTTCTTGCGCATTTCGACGGTGATCTTTGCAAAGGCGGCTCTGATCCGACCTTTCAACACCGGAAGGTTCGCCGGCCGCGTTACGTATACCTTCGACTTCACAAGCCCCCACGTGAAAAAATTCACACGCGTGGTGAGGTCGGGCGAGTGCGATGGTCAGGGCACTTTAGGCGAAGCCCAACCTCACCACGTGTGAATTTTTCATGTTGTGGTTTGTGAAGTCGTAGGTATACGTAACGCGGCCGGCGAACATTCCGGAGTTCCAAGGTCGGCTCCGAGCCGCCTTTGCAGAGATCACCGTCGAGATGCGCTAGAAAGCAGCGCTGGCGTACCGCGAGCGCCTCGATAAAGCGATGAAAAACGGTAGGAGGCACGTCGAGGTGCAACACTGAGCTGAACGTGAACGTATTTGCATAAAGCTTGGAAGAATATAATCCCAAATGTGTATCTAACTACATTGTGTTAACCCGCGCCCCACTGGGAGGGGGGGGGGGGGCTATTTATAGCCCCCCTCTCGTTTTTCTGCAATATCTTCAAAACCGCTGGACGTGTCAACACGAAACTTTCAGGACCTTTGCCTGCATCGATTTGACACCTTGTGTCCGAATAAAAACTTTCTAGCTACCATAGGTCGGCCGCAAATGACGTCAGAGTGACGTCATGTCCGTCCGGTTTTGATGCAAAACATTGAACTACGGCAATCGCTTTCAAGAGCTCAGTTTTTAAGATAGATCCGATTTCTTTGCATAGAATGACTCAAAACACATTGGACTATCAAACTGCTATCTCTGATTTTTAAAATTTCGATAATTTTGAAAATTATACATATGAACTATCAAAAATTTTAGATTGGTAATTTTTAAGACAGTTTTTGCTTTTTCGGAAAAACCGATACATTTGTGATAAAACACATACCAGTGACCTACTCTAGGACGTTTTAGCCCGATATCCTACAAAATAGCCAAGTTATATGCTTTATAGTAAAAATATCCGTCATTATCAAATTTTCAAATCAATTTTTAGCACGTTTTTGACATCGTACACCAAAATAAATAGCACCATCGTGTTTCTGAGCTCAAACTGCATCTGATAGATACCTTTTCTGTTGAAAATTTCAACTTGAAAATTTGACCTTTTTGACCTGAAAATGACCTGACCTCAGCTTTTTCAGCTGAAAATGGCCTGATATGACACAGACGACACTGATTTCGCAATCTGGCCTAAATGGACCATAAAACATGCGTCACGTGACCAATTAAATATAATATTTCCGTGACCTAGGATGACCTTGCCGTGACCTGAAAAATTCAACAAGTTTGGTACCCTCAGGGTATCTTAGGCATGTATTCATGAGTGTGTAAACCAAAAATGAGCCAGATCCGACTTTTGAGACGGCGGCCAGAGCCCAAATAGTTAACAAGCCAAAACGTCGATAAATTTTACTTTGACCTGACCTGTGACGTCATCGGTGACCTCGAGGTCAATAAGAGTAGGTTCCGCTCGACAGTTGTTCCTGGGCTATCAGACGCCGTTTGAATTTTGACAATCGGCTTAGTAGTTTCGGAGTTAGGAGGGGGGGGGGGGGGTCGGCGTTATTAAAAGACCCCAGTGGGGCGCAGGTTAGTATCATTCAATTTGGCTACCTATGATGGAAGTTATTCAAGTTTCACATTGGGGGTTTTACGTGCGCCACCCTGTACATAGACCAAGGTGATTGTGTGGTTTGTTACTGTATGTGACTAATGTGTCTGTGATTTAACGTAGTCAACCTCATCGAGATCGATGCGAGTGATTGAACTGTGAGTGATTGAACTATGATCAATACATAATATGTGATAAACATGATTTTTCTTAATTACTATTACATTGGTAGCAATCACGTTTTATCGCACCGACTGGAAGACATCACTGTTTTATGGTTTCATAATTTCGGATCCCTCGTACAACGCGTTCACAATGCGTATCCTGACCATAGCGTATCTGACATCCCATGGTTACACGATATGTACTATCTGAAATGGTCATTGCATGCCATCTGTTTGACTTCACCATTAACTTTGGTGCAAAGTATATATAAGCAGACGATATACCATTACATTGCAGCGTAGGCATAAAAATACACCAGAGGGTAAACTGAAATAGTGGTGTATATTTAACTCGGGGTAATTTTACTCTAAAACTTTTCAGTCATAGAATTATCTTTCTGAGTTTTTGTTTCAACGTGAATTAGAATGTGAATTATTTTTACTCTCTCAACTTTTTTCTACTCTGGTGTATAAATGCTGTTTTCTGTTTTTACACCCTGAAGCAGGGGGTGAAATCTGATTTGATATTATTACACTGGGAGTGCAGTATTACTCCCGTAAATTGCATGCTTTATTCGGTTTTACTCCCCTACACCGGGGTGTAAAATTATTCCTCTAGGGTTGGAGTTTTAGGCACCGTACTTTTACTCCAGAGAAAGTGTATTTTTAAGCTCATGGGAGTTATTTGATAACACCCGGTGGTAAAAATAGTCGCTAATCGCCCATGTTAAAGCAGTTTACACTGGGGAGTAGAATGATCACTTAGGGTTGGAGATTTAGGCACCGTAAAATTATTCCAATTTTGGGTGTACTTTTCTTTCAGTGTGGAGTCACAGGTATTTAAATTTATGTAGAATGGTAGTAAATAGTGTAGTTTTCGCTGATGTGATAAATAAGTTTAATAATCGTAGTGAAGGATCCGGCTCTATCGATCGCATGGGAAAATGATGATTTTTGTTGTGCCTAACAAACTAGCACTGTGTGCCATTTGCATTGAAAAAGACTACCGCAAAGTGTGTCGAAATATTTGCTTTTTTTTGAATATATATGTACTTATCACTCAAGTTACTCCGATAAATATTATTCTGATATTTTATTTTTGTTGAATATGCTATCGCAGCATCATATCGCAGCATATCATAGAAACACAGACGGCATACGAGTCCGTTTCAGTCCGTTGCAATGGTTGTGATAACGCACGTACATACCTTCAGGAGTTTACGTGCACCATGTGATTAAGCTCAGAATAAACGGTCTTTCATTGAACTTGTTTCCTTTGCAACTCGATAAAAATCACGCGCAGATTCTTCATATAGTATAGTATTCAATTTGTCGATCGTGCCGCCGTGCACTCACCTGCACTGCGCTTTATCACTTGTATCTGCTTGAATGACGTTTGTATAATATTTCAGGGGCTGTGAATTCTGTAATGCATGGTATGCATAATGCAGTGGCACATCCCGAAGGCCTGGAGGGGATTATGAGCACATCTTTTGGATGTCCTGACTGGTCCATTCCAAAGGATGCGCTCTGCCCCTCCATGCAGGATGATGCGACTGCAATACCTATTTCACATCCCCTGTTATTTTTGCACCAAGAGTGTAAAAAATAATTTGGATATAAATACACCCTAGTGTAAATTTACTCTCACATGCTAAGTTTATTATATTGCTTATGTGCTATTTTCACACCTTTTGGGCTGGTGTAGTTTTTGGGCACGGTGCAATTTTACTCCAAACGGGGTGTATTTTGACGCTAATTAGGTTACTATTTATATCATGGGTAGTAAAATTACTCTTCCACTGGTGCAAGCTATGGTTGCTATTTTTAGCACGGGTGGTAAAATTATTCTTCGAAAAGAGAAAGAAATTACACCAGAACTTTGGAGTAAATCTACGGTGCCAAAAAATCCAATATTTTCTGGTGAGTTTTTACTCCGGCGTAAGTTTACTCGAGTTTTTACGCCGGAGTAAAAACTCACCAGAAAATATTGGATTTTTTGGCACCGTAGATTTACTCCAAAGTTCTGGTGTAATTTTTTTTCAGTGTTGGAGCGGTCTCGTAGGGCCCTCAATGGTCCACTGCGGATCCAGAAAAAGTGGTTTGAGACGCTGTGGGTGGTGGCTAGACTAAAAGATTAGCCGATAAAAACTAGCTGCATTTGCTTCTTTTTGCTTTCATTATTTGAGACAGGTAGGTAGGTACACTGCAATTTCAAACCTTTTACAGAACTTGTGTGTATGGGGAGGGTTTTCCAAACTCTTCGTTTTTCATAAATAGTCAATAAGAATCACTAAAAAAAACTGAAGGGGGCCCAAAACTTCCAGAGGGGCCCCTTGAGAAAACTTTGCACCCCCATCCAAAATTACCTTCCGCCGCCACTGCTCGCCCGAGTACGTTGCGTGTCGCTGAGCAGAGGTAACCGGCTCGGCATCAGCAGTGCTCACATGGTTTGTACATAAACCATACAGTGCTCACACAGTCGTTGGGCTGTGGGTAGCTCCGAGCGGTATATGATACATTTCGTGTTTAAAGTACGGGAGTTAGTCATCGTTTGCCGGGCCTGTTGGTCGGACCAACAGGCCGACCAACAGGACCAACTTGGACCAGCTTGGTCCCTTGCTTAACTGCTCAACTGAAACTCCGCACACTAGTCGGTGCGGCTGAGGTGGCGAGCGAAAAGGTTTTGGCAGCGTTTGAAACAAAATGTTAATTTTGAACGGCTGCCAGAGTTACAAGTTACAACGTTTTTAAACATGTGGTGCAGTAAATACACATTAAACATGCTTGTTCTTGACCTTGTTTGTGAAAGGAATGGGGAAGGGCCGGGAGCGCAAATGCCCGGCAGGGATTGACACAAACGGCAGGGATGGAGAGAGTACAGAGGGAGAGGGAGAGAGAGAGAGAGAGAGAGAGAGAGAGAGAGAGAGAGAGAGAGAGAGAGAGAGAGAGAGAGAGAGAGAGAGAGAGAGAGAGAGAGAGAGAAGATTGGAGGGATGGAAATGGTGTTGACTTACAAACAGACGATACGTGATCTGTGATAAATCTACGGACGTCTATCGCTGCTGCAGCTGGCAGCTGTATGCTGTGCAGCTGGTCTAGGTGATAGCTGCCAGCTGGTCTTCGTGTAGCTGATTTCGGTATAGCTATCAGCTAGTCTCCGTGTAGCTGCCAGCTGATCTTATTGTAGCTGGTCTAGGTGTTGTTGAGTCTCGGTGCAGCTGCCAGCTAGTCTCAGTGTAGCTGGTTTCGCTGTAGCTGCCAGCTGGTGCCAGCGTAGCTGGGCCTCTTTGTTGGTCCTGGGTAGCTGGTCTTCTTGTAGCTGGTCTTGTAGCTGGTCTTCTTGTTGCTGGTCTTGTAGCTGGCCCTCTTGTTGCTGGCCTTCTTGTTGCTGGCCCTCTTGTTGCTGGCCCTCTTGTAGCTGGCCCTCTTGTAGCTGGCCCTCTTGTAGCTGGCCCTCTTGTATGTAGCTGGCCCTCTTGTAGCTGGCCCTCTTGTAGCTGGCCCTCTTGTAGCTGGCCCTCTTGTTGCTGGCCTTGCAGCTGGTCTTCTTGTTGCTGGCCTTGTAGCTGGTCTTCTTGTTGCTGGCCTTGTAGCTGCTCTTCTTGTTGCTGGCCTTGTAGCTGGTCTTCTTGTTGCTGGCCTTCTTGTAGCTGGCCTTCTTATAGCTGGTCTTCTTGTAGCTGGACTTCTTGTAGCTGGTCCCGGTGTAGCTGGTCTTCTTGTGACTGGTCTTCTTGAAGCTGGTCTCTGTGAAGCTGGTCTTGGTGTAGCTGGTCTCGGAGACGGGAGTGCAGCAGGCGGCGTGTCCCGTACAGCAAAAGTTCCGGACCGTGTTGTTGACTTACGAACGGACAATCTGTGATCTGTGATAGATCTACGGAGTCTGTGATTAAAATCTATCTTAGGCCCGTTCGTAAGCCAAACAACGTCCGGTCAGAGGTCGAGTAGCGTCTTATCTTCCGGTTCGTGTCGGGTGCTTCTCTCTTTTCGCTCTTCGTTTTTCCTCGTGTCCGGGTACAGCAGAAGTTCGGGACCGTGTTGTTGACTTACGAACGGACAATCTGTGATCTGTGATAGATCTACGGACTCTGTGATCAAAAATCTATCTTAGGTCCGTTCGTAAGCCAAACAACGTCCGGTCAGAGGTCGAGTAGCGTCTTATCTTCCGGTTCGTGTCGGATGCTTCTCTCTCTTCGCTCTTCGCTCTTCCTCGTGTCCTGGTACAGCAGAAGTTCCGGACCGTGTTGTTGACTTACGGACGGACAATCTGTGATCTGTGATAGATCTACGGACTCTGTGATCAAAATCTATCTTAGGTCCGTTCGTAAGCCAAACAACGTCCGGTCAGAGGTCGAGTAGCGTTTTATCTTCCGGGTCTTGCCGGGTACTTCTCTCTCTTCGCTCTTCCTCGTGTCTTGGTACAGTAGAAGTTCGGGACCGTGTTGTTGACTTACGAACGGACAATCTGTGATCTGTGATAGATCTACGGACTCTGTGATCAAAATCTATCTTAGGTCCGTTCGTAAGCCAAACAACGTCCGGTCTGAGGTCGGGCTCAAACGGGGCGACTTTTATTCTAACAACGCTCAGTACTAGCGAGTTTCACGCATGCGTCCCGCCAATTTTACCGGCCAGGCGTTCAATCTAGCGTATAGGTGGCGCCACATTGCAGTGTGTTGTTCGCCTATGCCGGTTTGAGAGCCACATCACCAGACGGTTTGGGAGCCCCTTTGAAAGGGTCACCGCCCGAGGCGCTGAGGCGGCGGCTGTGCCGGCCTTGCCTGAATGGGGAGGTAGGCCAGGAAAAAGGCGATCGAGCAGCAACAGGGGTGTGGATATTTATTACCTATCTACTGACGAACGATGCCGACGGCCCGATAGCCTTTTTCCATGTCAGAATATAGATATAGGTATGACAGACACAACGTGGCCAGTGTTCAATCAAAGCTACTTAACGATTCATGTTTGAAGTTAACAAAATTGGCAGAGGTTTACGCACTCCTTGATATATGCCTTAGATACCCTGAGGGTACCGAACTTTTACTTCGATTTTTTTCAGGTCAAGGCCAGGTCATCCTAGGTCACGAAAATTGTATATCATGTATCAGTCACGTGACGCATGTTTTATGGTCCATTTTACTCGTAGATTTCGAAAATAATGTCGTTTGTGTCATTTGAGTTCATTTTCAGCTGAATTTACCTGAGGTCAGGTCAATTTCAGGTCAGAAAAGGTCAAATTTTGAAAATCAATTTTTCAACAAAATGGGTGCCTATCAGAGGCAGTTTGAGCTCAGGAACACGATGGTGCCATTTATATTGCTGTACGATGTCAAAAACGTACTGAAAATGGTTTTGAAAAATATATAATTGTAAAATTTTGACAATAATGCAAATGACTTGGCCATTTTTGAAGATAGTGGGCTAAAACTTGCGAGAGTAGTTCATCAGTGTGTGCTCTATCACATATATTCCGGTTTTAAATCGATTTTTTTAAATCAATTTTTTTGTAATTATAAAACCATATTTTCAAAATTTTCAAATTTTTGAAAATTCGAGATTACTGTTTAACCCTCGCCCTGGCAGGGGGGGTCGATGCGACCCCCCCCCCCCTAAGGTTTTCGAAGATAGCGTAAAAACGGCGGCGCGCAGCGCCGCCAAATTTGGCACAGCCTATGGGGCACCATTTTTACATATGACCTGAAAATTTCAGGTCCGTGTGACCTTAGGTCAGGTCACCAGGTCAGAAAAACCGGTACAAGGTCATGGTCAAATTTCAAATTTCTTTTTGCACCTGTCCAACTCACAGTTTTGCACTGATTTCCTTCAAACTTTCAGGATGTGCTAAGTTCACCGAGTTGTATAACATATAGTTCGGGTTTTTTGAGGTCACTGACCTGAGGTCAGTTAGAGGTCATTACGTCGTAATGTTAAGCCTATGGGAAAATACTAAATTCGGAAAATACTGGAGATATCCGCTTCGTTCTATCACTTTTGTGCTTTGAAACCACAGTACTCAACAGCAGGTCACTTGGTGCTTCTTTGTTTGGTGTACTTATCCATGGGTCAGGTCAAATGAGGTCAACTGAGGTCAAATGACGTTTTTGCCAATAACTTGGCACATAATGACGCTAGAGCTTAAAAAAATGGTACCATTGTGTTCCTGGTGATCAGCCGAATCGAATTATATGCGATATGATGCAATTTGGTTAACTTTAACTTAATTTATTAATTAAAGTTTACTTAAAATTTAAGAAAACTTTAAGTACACTTAAGCAAGCTAAAAAGTATATCATTCGACGTGCCTTGACGTGCTGAGTTCACTGGTGCTTTTCTTTTTGCTCTATCTTAATTAGATCAAAAGTTATAAGCGAAAAACTTTTGACCTGTTTTTAGCGAAATTTTTATATTTATACCCCCCAAAACCCCCCTAAATATTGACCTAGAGCAACCAAATTTGCACAGGGGCGAGAACTCCAGGGGGCCCACCTACCTACCGAATTTGGTGTTTCTAGGTGCCATAGGAGCCAATCGCGAGGGGGGGTCGCATCGACCCCCCCCCCCCCCCTGCCAGGCCGTGTTATGAAAAATGCCCTGCCAGGGCGAGGGTTAATAGCTACGTGTATTTGAAGTCCACTGATGCAAAGAAATTGGACCTAGCTTGAAAACTAAGCTCTTGAGAGGCGAGTGCGTTTGTCGTAATTCAATATTTTGCATCAAAATCGGCCGACATGACGTCACTCTGACGTCATTTTCGGCCAAACTGTAGTAGCTATAGGAAGTGGAAAATTTAACACCAGCGCCTCGTTTCATAAAGCGATTCCGTAACTTACGCCGTTTTTTGGTCTTGTATTGCAAGTGCATGTGAAGCGATGGCGATAGTTTGAATCGTTGAATTTATTTATCTTGCAAGCAAGAACAGAAGGCAGAAGGAGAAATAAATTTATCGCTTCATATGCGCTTGTAATACAAGCCCAAAAATTGACGTAAGTTACGGACTCGCTTTATGAAACGAGGCCCAGGTGTCAAATTGATGCCGCTGAGGGTACTGCAAGTTTCGTATTGATCCGTCAAACAGTTTAGAAGATATAATTGCCAAAAAACGGGAGGGGGGCTCTGTAGAGCTCCCCCCCCCCGTCATGCGCGGGTTAATATACCGACCAGCCATAGACAGCCTAGTGACCTACAGTCTTGGCAGTTGTCCCAGCTTATAATAACTATAAAAACGGCTAGCGGGTGAACAAGAAAACAGAATGATAGAAATATCAACGAACACTCGGAAAGCAATGATTTAGGTCGGTCACAACTCGCAAAACAATAGAAAAGAAGAAAAGCTCACATAACATTTTGCTGCGCATTCTACCGTACGTGGTTTTGATCCATATACGATCTGCTTCGCAGTGCAAATCATGTCACGGCTCGTGATCATAAATATTTCAACGGCCCATAGTTAGATAACCGGTACCTACGTGCACTTCCACAGCTCGTGATCATAAATATAAATATTTAAACGGTTCATAGTTAGACAAGCGGTACCTACGAGCACTTTCAGCATGACTGACAGAATTGTATTGTTTTCTGCACGGGTGAAGAATTAGGGTTTTCGGGGGTGCTCAAGCACCTCCTGAAATTCAAAGGTCACGCATATACATAATAGTCCTCCAGTGGCTGCGAGACACAAACTACTTTGCGTAAGTCGCGATAAGAGTGATGCTGTTGGGAAAGCGTACTTATTATGTGCTTTTCTATGAAAAAAATTGACGCCTCCATTCGCCAGGCGCTAGAAAAGCACCCCCTGGGATCATGACAATTCTCCGCCCCTGGTTTTCTGTCAAATCCTCTATCGAATCCTGTATCCTGCGTGTTTTCTGTATCGAATCCTATCGTTTCTCACCTATGCTGTGACAACTGACAACTGACACTGGAATGGAACACTTGGAAAGTCATCCTTCCGCATCGGCCCTGGCTCGTGTACTGCACAATGGTCAACAAAAGTTCAAAACTCGTTTGGACATAACAGAAACTCGTTTCACGTCGCCAAGATATGCCAGACGCCGTGCCGTTTGTCGGATGGCCAAAGAGTGTGCTGCAGCAGCGACATCTACTCAGACACAGCCTACCCTCTGCCGGTGAGCTGGGGAGACTCGAGTGGCTGCCCACTCGCAGGGGGTAACCGGACAAAAGATCGTAAAGCAGAAGATCGTATGGCAGAAGATCGTAGGCAGTTGATCGTATGCAAAATATCGTAATGGATAAAGATCGTACGACATAATGCTCGTATGGACAAAAGATCGTATTCGCTAAGGATCGTCAAGGAAAATGATCGTATGCCAAAAAGTCGTAATGGATAAAGATCGTACGACATAATGCTCGTATGGACAAAAGATCGTATTCGCTAAAGATCGTCAAGGAAAATGATCGTATGCCAAAAGATCGTATGGGATAAAGATCGTACAGTATAATGTTTGTATGGACGAAAGATCGTATTCGCAAAAGGTTGTCCAGGTAAATAATCGTACGCCAAATGATCGTATGAGATAAAGATCGTACAGTCAAAATATGGTATTCACATGGTGCAACCCAACTCCAGCGCATACAAAGCTGATCAATTTCTCTGTTCACGTAGTAAGTGGTCGTCGTAAGCTCGACCATACATTGATGTTCCAGAACTTAGATGGCTCAATGACACCTAGGCAACGCGTTGTATATGTGCCGAATAAGTGAATGCATGTGCTGCCGTTTTCATGTATTTGAAGTGTATACAACTAAACCCATGTTCCCGTCGGAAGGGACGTCATGCATAAGTGATAATAAAAATATATGTACTGTATAGCAGTATTCTTTCGTAACTGTTCGCAGTGATAACATTTCACTCTAATGCTTTCATAAATGAACAATGAATGCTGCCTTGAAAAGCCTTGGTAATCACAAAATGAGCCTGATCTGACTTGTAAGACGGCGGCCAGAGCCCAAAATGTGAACAAGCCAAAATGCTAATAATTTTTACTTTGACCTGACCTGTGACGTCATCGGTGACCTCGAGGTCAATGAAATTAGGTTTCGCTCGACAGTTTTTCCGGGGCTATCAGACGCCGTTTGAATTTTGACGAGCGGCCCAGTAGTTTCGGAGTTAGGAGGGGGGCTATGAATAGCCCCCCCCCCCCCCCAGTAGGGCGTGTTATACACAGACCCCAGTGGGGCGCGGGTTAAATTGACTATCCCACCTTAACATTAGTTTTGAGTTGAGATAGCCAAATTGGTGGCCATGGCCTGCAAATACCGGTTTGGGCACTCACAATTTCGAAAGATGCTTTAATTCGGAGATATGGAATTTCAAACTTACAGTTTTCGGATTCTAAGGGGCTAATGCATTGAGATGCCCCCTTAGAAATTGTGACGTCAGCGGTGATCTAACGATTTTAAAACCTTATACTAACATCTTTGGAGAGAATCGTCATAATCGACGATTCTCTCCATTTCCATGCTCATACCGACGCAGTGGTAGCGAAAGCCTATCAGACCCTCGGAGTAATCAAGCGTACTTTCCTGAAGCTTGATGAATCGACCCTGCCACTGGTTTATAAAGCGATGGTACGGCCAGTTCTCGAGTACGCAAACACCGCCTGGGGACCTCTATTTATTGGAGACCAGTGGAAGGTTGAGAAAGTCCAGAAGCGAGCAACAAGAATGATTACAGCTATCAGGCACCTTCCGTACAATGAGCGACTCAAGAGACTAAGATTACCCACTCTGCAGTACAGGCGGGACAGAGGAGACATGCTAACGGTTTACAACTTGTTCAATGGCAAAATCAGAATGGACTGGTCCAACTTCTTCTCAATGGCTCCAGAAGATGCCCCAACCAGAGGCCACTCCAAGAAACTGAGAAAACCAG